AGGTCAAGGGTACAGAGAATATCTCGAGATTTGGCGCTCACCTCCTCATGGGCGCATCAGCTGTACAAAAAAGCACTGTGCGAGAGTTTGAGAGGCGATTGGAGGGAACAATATATTTCCTTTTAAGTGGTCGATCTGACTACGATGTGGAGACTTTGAAAAGGACAACCCGGCCGTCAGTCTTCATGCATCACACTCCAAACCATCCAATTGTCCAAAGCAGTAGTCCACACACCCTCAATGGACAACGACCCTCATGCCCTTCGAATTGGCCCTGTAGCAGGGATTGAAGAAATCATGCGCAATTTCTACATCTGTAACGTCCGTCTCATATAGCTCGAACCGGAACCGATTTGGGGCGAAAATGGCAGCGAGGGTGAGGTAGAGCTCGCAGTATGCGAGACTGCGGTTGAGATACTCTGTCAGTGGTCTAACTTCATCGTCGCTAAACGGTGGGCGAGATTCTGTCTAAAGACGGGGGACATACTTCATGCCAAGACATGATCGAGATCCTTTACCAAATGGAACCAGGTATTTACGCAACTGAGTCTTGGAAGGTTGAAGCCATCGTTCAGGCTGGAATGAGCGGGGATTTGGGAATAGGGAGGGGTCATCGTGGAGCATGACTGAGGTCATGCCTACAGGCGTCTGAACAAGGTCCGCCTAAGTCAATCCCGGTAGAGTAGCAATGATGAGGCTATGGAGAACGAGCCCAACGTACATTCACTGGAATTCTCCAATTCTTGTACTGCAGGGCGGTGTCTGGAAACATTCGTTGAAGCCGATGGGAGACTCCATAACCCCATCTACTTACGATTAAGCTGATTTCCCGTCGAGCTTTCCAGCCTAACCAGGAAGGAGGATAAGACTCACCTCAAAGCTTCCTGAATACAGGCAGTCTAAAAAGGTGTGAGATCGTGTGTCTGCTTAATGAAGTATCGAGGAAGAAAGGCAAAACGTAAGGAATATCCCACCATGTAGGGCAGTTGCTCAAGCTCGCTCCACCTCGGCTGCGAGTCTGGCTTCGGCATTATGCTTTCGAGCTCGTGTTGTAATTTGTTTAAGATTCCTGGATTGTGAAGTATGTGGAATGCCAACACCGACAGCGTGTGCGCAGTCGTAGTTGTCCTGTTAAGCAGCCTTAGAACAGAAATCCCACATGGCATTGGGAAACATGAATACCCAGCAGCAACAACTGATAGCGCTTCCGCCAAAAGACGCTCGGTCTCTTTATCCTGAGGTCTTATTTGATCATTCGTGAGAATATCATATATAATGGTCCTCCGGCCGCTGGGCTTGCGCCCTTCGGCGTGCTCTTTCTTGATTTCTAACACCTGTGCCCGGATCGTCTGCCAATCGTCAACAAAGTATCTCACCGAGCGGACACCAACTGAGACAGACATCTTGCATGCCAAATAAAGATGATAATTTAGGACTGGCCATTTTGATAAGCGATGGAGGAATGCTTCGCATCATAGGTTCCAGCCATCCAAACTGCTTGAAGACATGGGATGTTTCCGAAAGTTCCATCATCAACTGATGCCAATGTGGAGAAAAATCAGGGCTTCGCATGAAACCAAATGGGCGTGCAAAAGCATATTGACTGATCACATCACCTGTCAGAGAGGTAAAGACATCAACCATATTGACATTGCTGCCAGCTCCTTGGACGGTTCGTAGACGTGCCACAAGTTGGTCGACGATAGACTGGACTGAAGGTTCCAAATGATATACGGAAGCTTTGGAGAAAAAAGGCGCCAAAGCTGCGGCTCGGGTGCGGTGAAGTTCGTCTACGCAGATTTCGGAGTCAGCATTGTTTATTCGAGGTAGGAAATGGAGTTGCAAGACAGGTCTGGGGGCGAGAAAGGTCTTCTTGCGCCTCAATTTCATTACCAAACAGGAAGAATCAGCTCCGAAATGTACGTACGGCTTTCGGTTGAGAAGGTCGCAATGGTTGGACCAAACCCTTTCATAGACCACTGATATTTCATGGACCTCCGGATAGAAGTACCTACGTATAGCTCATCATAGTAGCTGTTCTATGGTCAGTGGTGAGTCGAGTTGCCTCAATGGTCTGGCGGGGCCTGACTCAGGGTCATTGATATGCAACTCGTAAGGACTGATGCGTATGATGGGGCCTCGAAGTTTGCGTTAGCGAGCGTTACATCGACGTCCACGATGCTGAGAGCGAAAGAAGCGAACCGTGGCGCTCATGCAACTCTGCGATCTTCCATGTGTAGCGACCTCGCTTGATAACATCATAGTAGAACTCGTACCACAACGTCAAAGCAGCCAGCTTCGGCCCAGGAAATCTAGCAAGAGGGCTAAGATACAGGCGGTAGACCGCTAAAGAGATGCAATATGCGGAGAATGTGAGAAGTGCAAGGAGGAGATTGTAAAATGAGAGGAATTCCATGTTGGCGATATTCGATTCGACCATGAAGCAGAACGAAGATTAACACCGACGTCAGTAGATGACGGCGTGGGAAGTTATGAAGGAGATGATCCTTCTAAGCATTGTGTTGATGCATTGACACCTCCTCCCACCTCTCACAGGCCTCTGATGGTAGGATACTCTACATATTCTATCTCTAACCAGGACCGTCCTAACCGTTACGATAAGGCTCGGATAATCAAACGAAGGATTCGGGCGGCATTAGATTTTCTAATGTGATTCGGCAGAAACCTTTGGCTCGTGCATGTTAAACCTATGGCTTGGCCTGACCTGACCAGCAGCGTTATTAGACGTAGCCTTCAGTCCTTTTTCACATTTGGTGGACTGAGGCAATATTCTAAAAAAGTACCTTACGAAGGATGGTAGTGGAGGCTACAGTAAGCGTGACGGGCGGGCCAAAAATAGATAACCCGCCGTGACTAGGTACTGACTAGGCAAAGTATTTTAGGTATTTTACTATTTTCTGCACATCGTCGACCTAGGTAGCCAACTTTCTTCCACCCCACTACCACCCCACTACCACCCAAATAACAACAATAATAATAATACTACACTGATGACCAAGGCTACACACTTCCAGTTGGCACAAGTAACAAGCACAAGTACAAGCGAAATGCTTGGTGACATAGATAGGATAATTATGCTTTCCTAATTATGGCTGTGTTGGATGATGTGCCTATTTATTTACGTGCTGACTTGCTGCGCTTTTACCTTCAGGACTACATATGATGATACTGATGACCCATCTACCTTGTCCTTGTCCTTGTCCTCGTCCTCGTCTCCGTCCTCCTCCTCCTTCTCCTCTCGACAATCATCCATGACCTTCCCGCTCTACCTTTCCTCTTGATCATAAGTGTTCCAGCTCATGCTGGATATATACACTCAGCAGCCTGTCCTTTCCACTCCTGTCTCCTCCCCCACCCAAAGCTCTGATCTCCTTTTCTAGCTTGACAAGATGGCGACGTCCGCCTTAGAGCTCTCGCATGCTATTGATCTTTTCCTCCACAAAGACCGCACTTCATATTTCGATACTGATGCAACAGAGTCTGTCACATCGCAAGAGACTACTGCACTTCCTCCCTTACTCCCATCTTTCCATTGGGACCTGCAAACAACATGCAAGCCAATGCTTCCCGCCTTTCAATACATCTCTCACAAGCTCTATCTACGCGAACTTTCCGTCGCTCTCATCATTTCCGATCACGAACCCCACGTTATACCGGTGTGGCCTCTCCCACGGAGATCCCAGCTCATATTCGCCAAGATCATCCGCAAAGCATGCAGGAAGTTCAGCCTAGAGCCCAGCTGGTTGACAGCGGTCGCTTCAGTCTCTAACAAATGCCTACCAAAGGTCTTTGAAGCGTACCAGCCAGACTCATATATCGTACGGAGGTCTATCGTTCAGAACGATATCATATTCAGCGACGAAGGCCTCACCTTGCTAAGCATGGACAATATCTACACATTCAAGCAGTTGCTCTGCACTCTTTCCAAGCCAGATTGGGTCGCAAATTCCCGTGACGTGTGCCTCTCTTCCTGTGTCCATCTGCTACAGCGAATCAACGAAGTCTACACAGATCCAAAATTGTCAAGAGGGTATTTAGCACGAGTGTACAAAGAAGTGGAGTTTAAGCAAAAAGCGTTTGAGGAAGTGACTTCTGCATTCTCCACAAATTACTGCACAGCAAGCATTAGAGATGTCACGATGCTTGAACCGGACTACACTGCTTTGACGGACATGGCTCTTGACTGGGAAAGCGATGACGATGGAGACGCTGCCGAACTACCAGACACATCCACCACCCGCGATCACAGCAGTGACTCCGATCAGATAATCAGCCCAATAGCAACAGTCGACCTAAGCACGCTCGACTCATGGGAAACGGATACACCCCCGCCAGCCGATATGATCAGTCCTCTAGAAAGAGTCAGATACCCAACCATCCGAAGACCATCCTCAGTGCGCGAATCCCTCGTCGACCCCATGGCGCCGTGGTCCTTTCCCATACCTCCACCCTTACGATCTCTAAAGAGCCGACGGGCGATAGAGAGACAGAACGCCGAGCTGCCCGCGCCTGCTTCGGCACCTTTGCGACGGGCGTCCGAGGGTGACTCGCAGCCGCCTTCGAAACCGACGGATTCCTGGAGTTCGTCGGAGGTCATGCAAAGTCCATTGGGATGGTTGGAGAGTTGGAGCACCAATGCGCCCAGTCTCCTTTGCCAAAACTGCCACGATACCATCAATTTTGACGTGGGAAGGAGGTTTACGCTTGCTTGAGCATATACCAAGTGACCATACGTCGTTGCGAGAGAAGAAGGCCCTACGAGAGACGCTAGACGATGTGTACGATCACTGTGATTTGATATGAGGAGTGTTGCAAAAGGACTGGAGATCTAATGGTTTTTTTTTCTGTATATAAACTCCAAAAAATATAGGTTGAATGTTGTATCGATATCATGATCTGGTATTTGAGAATGTCCAAGTGGTGAACGGTGGCCAAACTCTCATCGACTCTACTGAAAAATAAAGGCTAGATTTAAGTACTCACAAACTACTTTTCGTCTTCTCCGCCCGCTCAAGCCATTCCCTAACCATCCCGTTGACTTCCACCGGCTTCTGCCACAAAGCCCAATGGCTAGCCTCCACCTCCTTCCTCGTCAAATCCGGAACAAATCGCTCCATACCGTCAGACAAACTCGGTGGCAATGCTGCATCGTTGGTCGCCTGGATGAACAAGACCGGTATATCGACAGTCTTCTTCTCAAGTCTGTGGACAATATTTAGTACACAACCACCCCAACGCAGGATCCGCGATGGATGCCTGGGTATGCCTGAACGCTTACTGAAGCTCGTCCTGGAAATTCTGCTCTCGGTTCCTGTACCAGCACACTCCACACTTCTCAGCAACCCGTCACACCTCCACACCTCAACTGGAAAACTCACGAGTCCCTCGCATCCCATGCCTCTCATACTCCGCCGCGTAGAACTCCAACAGCTCCTTCCCCACCAACGGCGTCCTATTCAACCTCGGCAGATTCTCATACAGAGGTCCCTCCGTGTGACTGAAGCCGGCCTCTCCGTCCGGTCCTTGACCCCCGTAGACGGAATTCAGAAACTGCTCGATTTGCGCCTTGGACCTGATGCGTTCTTCGACCTCGCCGCTCGCGAGATGCAGTTGATATCCCCAGTTCGGCATGCGCGTTCGCACCATGGTCTCAAGGGGCGTGTATGTCTTGCTGGGGGGCCAGTAGGGCGTGCAGACGGCGAAGAGGCGCGAGACGAGTTTGGGGTGCCAGAGTGCGGTTCGGTAGGCGATGGCTCCTCCCTTTTCATTTACAGTGAGCCAAAAGCACCTTCCGTACCAGAACGTTACAGACAGGCGGACTCACCCAATCATGCCCTCCCAGGATGATGGTCTCACAGCCCAACTGCTTAGCTAACTCCATGATGTCATCAGCAGCGCGCTTGAAGCTGTAGTAAGCCATGTCCGATGCTTGGTTGATTTGGGGGGCGTCGGTGCGGCCGAATCCCATGAGGTCGGGACAGACGACTCTGTAGCCCTGCCCTAGGAGCATAGGAATTTGGTTGCGCCAGCCGATGGAGAGGTCGGGCCACCCACTGGATTGAAATCCCGCAATCAGTATTGCCTATTCTAGTGGATTCGTCAAGCCTTGGAATATGCTTCGCGAGTAAGATCTCCCAAGGCATGTCTCTTGACTCAAGATGTCGTCCGAACGAGGGAACATGAACTCCGAAAGTACTTACTGAACCTTTCCACGCAGTCAGTCGGCTGTTCGGGGAATGGCAGAGTAACAAAATTCAATAATACCAAGAAGATGGTCGCTTTATATCCCGCCGAGGGGCTGCCGAGGAGGTAGTCTGCAGACGTTGGGTCAATTGGATAAATCAGCGTATGTAGTTGTCGAGCTGACATACGGTAGTTGCTGCCATTGAGTTGAGCGTAGCAATGGCTTACTCTGGGGTCGTCGATTGGGTCAATAGAATCCATGGTAAGTTTGGTTTCAAATGAGAACAGTGAAATGCCCGTGCAATGATAAGTCCGGGAAACACTTGAGAGATGCTTTTGGTTCGAAGACAAGAACAGAGGAACCCCGCCCCACCTCAGAAAACAACCGAGGCAAAGGATTCGGAGCGATCAAAGTTCCTCTTTTTTTGAATTATGAAAACCCCTTGGCATTGAAATCTTCGAGCATGAGATCATCCGTAGTTATATCATACGTATCAACACAAGCAAGGTTGCCCCTCCACCCCCCCTCCCCCATAGTAGCCTTTTACCTTTCATCTCCCTATGCACAAGTGTTCCTCAATTCCATGTCTTCAATCTATACAGGTCGCGTGGAAGTTGCTAGGAAAATAATCAGTAGATCACTGTATCTTCCTCTCCTTCAAGCACCTCTTCCCCGTTATCTCCAAGATCCTTTACGGCCTCAGGTGGCTCAGCAGGCGTTTCTCTGTCTCCAGACTCCATTGAAGCAACAGTATCGTTCATATTAGTATCTTCAGATATTTGGGGACTGGAATGCTGTTCTCCGTTAGTAGCAGCACCCACCGTGTCCACCGCCCGAGCATCCTCTTCTTTGGTCTCAGAAGGATCTGCGCCGTCATTGGTTGGTGGCGGGGCTTCGTCGCTCGTGACTGCGTTATCGATGTCCCACTGCTTAGCCTCTCTTTCGATGAACTCTTCCGCTTCTTCGACCTGGGCTTTGATCTTCTCTTCGTCGCCTGGCGACAGCTCCCACGGCTTGTAGTACTATGAGTATAGAGGATTAGAGCAGAACTCATTATCATCTTTGACTTGTAAAACTTACAAGCATAGGCTCAGCTCTTGTACGTAGAAAGTGTGCTCGGGCCAGCATATTTGAATGCCGTATTTGCATCTGTTAGCGCGCCAGCATACCGTTAGAAAAGAAAATTCCCCACACTATTGCGCGAAACTTACAGATTGTTTGTCAAACTTCTTCTGCTCTCCCCGGCGCACCACCAAGAGAGCCTCCAGCTTCTGCTTCTTCTTCTCGTCCTGTTCTTCCGCCTGTAGCTTTAGCTTGGCCTGCTGCTTCTTCTCAATGTCCGTGCGGCGCTTTTGTGCTGTGGATGATGAGCTCTGGGATAACGTGCCGAGCAGAGCGCCAAACAGTCTTTGCCCGCGTTTGCGTTCCTCCATCTGTCCGCTCCTTCGTCGTTCTGATTGCGGGTTTGTCATGGTGTCTGGTCTGCTTCCATTTGTGTCATAATGGCCGAGTCGGGGCCTTTTTGAGTGGTCATCTGAGAACGAGGATTGTCTTCGTTTGAGAGCTGCTGGTGGGGAGGGGGTTTGCTCGGACTCTGGTAGAATGACCGCCGAAGCAACAGCTCTGTAAGTAGACGTGATTAGTACGACTTTCGTCGAGTGAAAATCCAACATGAGCTTACACTGGTGCTTCCGCCATGATATAGGAGCGTTGGAAAATCCTGCGTTGAGTTGTGTGATGTAGTAGCAAATGGAATGATTTCAACGAGCCTTGAAGGACTTGGAAATTCACAGCTTCATGAAATAGGGCTGATCGCCTCGGATATATTTCCGAACATATCTTCCGACTAGAAAGCTAGAACATCGCTGACAAATCTGCACTTGACGCTTTTCCATCCTTCTTTCCTTTCCACAACCACTTCTACACATACCAAAGCACCTCACAGCGAGAACTCCTCGAGTTCCGCCAAGATGTCTCGCCATCATCCGTAAGTCTTGCTCGTCCGCTTCTGTCATACTTCAAATGTTGACAGCCAGCACAGCGATCTAGTAATGTGCCGCAAGCAACCCGGCATAGCAATCGGTCGTCTCTGCGATAAATGTGACGGCAAATGCCCCGTTTGCGATAGCTACGTTCGCCCTACAACACTCGTCCGTATCTGCGACGAATGCTCCTTTGGCAATTACCAGAATAAGTGCGTGGTATGCGGCGGAGAGGTAAGCCTCCTATTTCCATATCTTGCTTGGAGGGACAGAGGCTAATGGAGATGTGGGAACAGGGCATCTCTGACGCATTCTACTGCTTCGAATGTACCAGACTGGAGAAGGACAGGGATGGGTGTCCGAAGATTATCAACCTGGGCAGCTCAAGGACCGATCTGTTCTACCAGAAAAAGAACTTTAGGAATCATTGATAGGGTCATGTTGCTAAACCACCATCGGAGCCAGATTTGAGGCGGAGAGAGGAGTGATGGACAACATGGATTCGAGCTCTGTCCCTGGCTCTGGACCACGAAGGATGGAAAGGGTAGAAATCTGCATCATATCATTGTCATTGCTTCCGCCTTCTAGGCCTTGGTTGACGATCGGATTCCTGCGCTTAGCGAAGGTGGAAAAGGATGGTATATTGCTTCCGTGCAACGGACGACGGTGTCCCTATGGGAACCCTCTGTCGCCGCATTTTGAAGGCGATCTTGTCCAACAGCTCAGGAAGTCAGAGACCGATAGTTGTGTGTCTGTTCAGGCGATGGATATGGAACTTTGTGCTAGAAGTCGACATTACTCTCAAAGAGGACTCATGGTTAGGGTTGATCAAGGTGGAGGAGGTAGAAGGAACAATTAGATCACCCATGGTGAATTAAGCTCCATATTTCAACAAAGCTGCGGGTATCTTGCATGCTCTGAACTGACTTCCGAAAGCCAAAATACACAATGAAGGGTCTATGCCATCATACATCTGTAACCACGTTCGACCACATCTAAAGATAGCTAACTTTTACTCCCATTCCTACTGTCCTCTTGACCTTGTCCCATCCCGCACCTGTCAGTCTACCGAGCCTATTTTTGACATCGCGCCGGCTGAATGCCACTATCAAGCCTATCAGGAAGAGCACGAATCGAAGCAGAGACATTGGATTCTGAGACATTTGTTCTGTCATGTTCTTGATCAGCTGCTGGAGAGCAGATAAGACTGCAGCGCTGCGCTTGTAGATACTGCTATTCCTGGTTGGCTTTCCGGTCGATTTTATTGGTGGTGAGCGGGAAGTTGTGGGTTGTACAGCTTTGGCGGGCTTTGAGTTAGCTTTTGAAGGTACTGGCTGGAATCTAGGAGCATCTAGTGGAGCGCGAGGTTTGTCAATGCCATAATCCTGCTCGCCATCTGACCTGTGACGAGTTACTGATGGTTCCTGCCGTAGTGTCTCCATACTATCCGGCCTCGTCTCCTCGACCGGCAAGGGTTCTTGCTCGGTCAGCTCGTCTTGTTGGGGCAAAGCGTCTTCGAAGTGATCTTGACCCTTGCTATCCTCGTCCTCAAGGGTTCGCAATGTTTGTAACAATTGTTCGCGAACTTCCTCGTCTAGGACCTCACTCAAGTTGATGAAGTCGCGGGCGTAGTTCCACTCTCCTGTGCGAGGCAGCACGTGAAGGGTGAAGAGTTCTATGATCCTTACTCGAGCAATCAGATCTCGCGGAGTATCTGTTCCACCGCTTTGAGAGATATGACCATCATGCGGAGCATAGGAGTGATTCAAAGCTTTGAATTGATCGGTCAAGTCAAGGCTCGGGTGGCTCGATGCGGAAAGGTATGACTCGAGGTGTCGTTGATTGCCCGCCTGTGTGGTAGATTGGGCTAGTAGAAGCGATGCTAGATTATAGACCACGTCTGCATCGACATTTCCCTCCATACCACCATAACCTATGTCAACAACCTCATCCCATATTGTCCCCTCTTGAGCCTTGGCGACAAGGTTCCTCCATTCTCTGCCTCCAAATTCTGTCTTCCCATTGTCCGGGCCTAACTCGGCAACAGCGTTGAGCAAGCTAAGATAGAAACTCCACACCTTGATCCTCAATCTTGGGCTTGCTCTAGCGATTGGGGCGACATTAGCCGTCGCTTCGTCGTTGGGTGCACCATCCTGGGGGTGGGGAACAGTGATCAGTGGCTCAATGCTTGACAGAGCTTCGGCAAATCTGCGAGTTACGAAAAGAGCCTCGGCCTGTTTATACACCTTTGATATCTCTGATTTGGCTTTGCGTGGTGAGGATATTGAGCCGACTGAAGAGCCAAGGAGTCGGGATGTCGATAGCGCTTCCCCTGTAGGGTCTACGAGCGCTGTAGATGACCCATTCATTCTATTGCGTGGTGGTCTGGGTCACTGGAAAAGGTCGATGCCCACAAAGAACTGGGCAGTCAAAAAGGCCGCCAACAGAGTATAACAAACTGAAGGAGGCTGGGTGTAAGAAAGACAGGGATTTTTAGCGGACGGTTGTGGCGCCGATCTGATTAGATTAGATCTCTATTACTCGTACTTACATATAATCGACCCCATAAACTTAGCGTTCTATTTCTTCCGTGACATAAAATCAAGCATTACTCATACAGATCACCTGTCTTGGAATATTGAAGTCACTTTGACGCTTTGGTATCGGTGAAGTTTTCGGGAAAATGCATTGGTGGGAGTCCAACGTGTCTGCACATGAAACGAGGAGCGCTCTTTCTAAAACAATCAACACAAACACTGTCTGGATGCGCGCATCAATGTTGTTTTGCTAAGTCGCATTGATTTATCACCACCCCAATTTTCTTTGGTATTGCAATTACGACTCTGATATCACAGAAAGTATGGACGTCACTGGCCATACTTTCCAGAGCCAGCTCTTCTCTATCCTGGGAGCTATCTCACGTGCCCATTTCGTTTCCTTTGATCTCGAACTGTCAGGCATACCCAGCAAACAGTTCAAGTCTAAGCCTACAGGGCAGAGTGAAGATGGAAAGCAAACGCTTCAGCAAAGATACAAAGAGATTAAGGCCGCCGCTGAGCGGTACCATGTCCTGCAATTGGGCTTGACGTGCGTGGAAGAGGATAGAGATCGAGGTACGCTTAAGAGGGAAATGTGGAATGTTGATAGGGCCTAATCGACTCTAGGGGTCTATATTGCGCGTCCATATAACTTCTATTTAAATCCCGTGCCGGACAAGAAGTTAAATGTTGAGCGGGACTTTTCATATCAGAGTGGTGGTAGGACATCCCACAGCGTCGAAAGACGGTTGGCTGACGAGCCCAGCTGTGGAGTTCCTTCTTGGACATGGATTTCGCATGGAGGCTCCGTTTCTGGAAGGCGTACCGTATTTCTCGAGAGAAGAAGAGGCAGCGTCGAGAGCCGCTGAGGTTGCGAAGCGGGACAGGAATAGTTTTGCGGACATTTTCATCCGGGATGAGGACACCGAGTCGCTGGAATTCATTCAGAGGGTGAGGCAAGAGGTCACGGACTGGCGGAATCGCAGTACAGTAAGGTCTCTGCTCCAATCATAATTCCAAGAGTTCTTCACTTACGTACTTCCTAGCCTGAGCCTTCTTACCTGAACATCGCCCCAATCAATTCGGCCGCGGTAGGCTACAACGGCAGGGGCCTCAATGGATACCAAAAACGTCTAGTCCACCAGCTCGTCCGCGCCGAATTCCCAGATGTCGTTTCCCTCTCGAAGCAAGACCTCGTACAGTTGGTTCCTTTCGACCAAAAACGTGAAGATGCTCAGCTACAGCGAAAGATTGCGTGGTTCGAAAATAACCTAACACGCCAGGTAGGGATGAGGTGGCTTGCGGAGGCTATGTGCCCAGATGTCGACCAGGTCCTCCCCAAAGAAAGTGTGCCGCCGTTTGCCTCTAGCAATCTCGCAGTGTTAGCAACCTCGACGTATCCGCCCATGGATATGACGGATGAGGAACGAGAAGCTCATATCCTTCGATTTGCCGAGCTTTGTAAGACACTCAAGGACAAGCGGACCGTTCTCGTTGGACACAACCTGTTCTTGGACTTGATATACTTTTACACTTTCTTTTTCGGTCCACTACCTGATCGAGTGGAGGGTTTCCAAAAGACTATCGCACAACTATTCCCACTCGTGTTCGACACCAAATACCTTGCGGACAAGATCAACGACAATTCTCCTCTCTACAAGTCGTCTCTTCAGGAAATAGACCAGGAGCTTTCCAAGCTTCCCGTTCCGATCATAGGTATGAACTTTAAACGCGTCCTTGAGGGCCTTCTTGAACTAGATATACTGACTGTTGGATACAGAAACGCCACTTGGGCACAGCAAATATCTCTCGGACTCCCCGTTCCACGAAGCAGGCTTTGATAGCTTCACAACAGCTAAAGTGCTCATCCGCCTTTCTGCCAGAATCGAAGGAGGGGCGAAAGGAGACGAGTCACCATCATCAGAGGAGGAAATATACTACTCAGCATCAGAAGATGGCAACCTCCCTTCCGATCTAAATGACTTGCTAACCCGGAAATCGATCTCGGACGAAGATGCCTTGAAGCGGCGAAAGCAGATTGCTCGGGTGTTTCAGAAACGCGCCGCGATAAAGACTCCAGCAGAAACGCAGGCCGCGATAGAAACTCCAGCAGAAACGCAAGACGCATTGGATAGGCAAGCTGCGCTCTTCAGACACTTAGGCCTTGACGATCAGGAGTCCCGGTCAGAAACCCAAACGAACAATCGTCCACTGATGTCGAATAATCCATACGCACTCCTTGAGGATTTAAGTCTCAACAGCGATGTAGAGCTCAATTCTGCACACGTGGTTGCAGCTTCCATCCCTGTGGTGCACACCATGATGCCTGCTGGAGGCAGTTCTTTCTGGATTCGGTATGGCAATAAACTACGCGTCAATGGTACGGTGGAGGAGGTCTGCGTCATCAAGTGAATGGATGAATTCGAGAGTAGGCCCTAGTGGTTTGTTTTGAGAAGACGAATCTCCCTTACCCTGGCAGCTATCACGTGTCGTTCGGCACAAAAATCATCTGTCAATAGAATAGAACTATCTTGCGACCCACACACAGTCAGTATTCCTAGCCCTTATCTCTCGCGCGAAACACCCACCTAGGAATGTCTCCATGCAATTCTATGTATGTGCTTCGTAACTCGAGCAGCCTTCCTAGTCTGTCAATAGAATTCTCCTTAGTTGGCCTTCATATCTCAATTAGAAGTGGTTCCTTCCCTCTACCAAGCTCTGCTTCACTCGGATCCAAACATCCAATGGCGGGGATTTTCGGCATTTCTCTGCCTCTCAAGATCTTGGTGAGGCTTCCTTAACCCTCAGTGGACAGATGACACAGCTGCAGACTAGATTCCCTCGTGCTGCATGTCCATGTCCCAAAATGATGCTACGTCGTTGTAAAAAGAGTATCCTCCTATCGGCCAGTCAGCTGCAGAGTCCACTCCAATTTCCGCTCGTCGAATTACTTCTCTGAGATACTCCCCAACATCCGCCTGCCTAAAACACACAATGCCCGTTGGCTCAAGCCTTCTTGCCTCAGCTGTCGATCTTGCTGTGACACCGAAACCCTATACGTCCATAAGCTACGTTCCTCTATCACAACCTCGGGATGGCACCACAATTCACTCACTAGAGGCGTATCATCCATTCCTAACACTACAACTCCTTGATGCTCCGGGCAATCCTCGCTCCACCTTCCCACGTGGGCTTTCACGATGTTTCCTCCGTACTATATTTCGAATTAGTAGAAATTAATAATTTGACTTGATTATAATTACAAGGAATGGCATCACGCCGTTCTGTTTCACCCATAGCTGAGATAATTGTTAGCCAGAATGCGTTTGCCACGGGGTGACCGAGCCAACCTTGTAGCGAGCATGCGGTGCTATAACATTCAGAGATGTAATATGGAGCCGAAACTTTCCAGTCTTAGTGAACTTGCCTACCCCGAGATGATTAGAACGATTTGCACCGATATAACTGATCCACTACTCTACATACCTAAGCAGGTTCCGACCGAAAGCAAATTCTCACGCGCGACACACGTAGAAAGATTTGCTAGATACTCCGAGCAGTAGTAGACTCGGTCCTGATTTCCAAGTCTGAAGATCATGCGTGTCTGGTCTGTGGAGGGGTTCGAATCCGCTGGGGCGATGAGGTTCTTGATGGAGGGGCCCATGTAATTCGCTAGTTTCGAGAAGAGGGTTTGAGTCTCGGTTTCTGTCAGAGCACGCATCGTGAGGTTGAGCTGAGAGTCTGAGAGGCTATTGAAGGTACGTCTAGAATCCGGATGGAGGACAGGTTGCTTTTTGCAGGCACCGAAAAAAGGTAGAATGGGAATGGTTTTCCTCGTGCAGGAGAAAATGTCGGCACCGTACTCGTAGTGCGGGCGAGGCGCGCCTGCCGCTTTAAGCGCAATGTATAAGATTACTTGTACCTCTGTAGGCTTTTGGAGAGTAGCCACTGCAACGTGAACTTTCTGACTACTGCGACGTTGGCTTTCGGAGCAGAATAGAAAAGACTTTAAGAAAGAAGTCACTGCGAATATGTTAGCGAGTATATGTGCATGCGTGAAATAATTTAACGTGTGTGTGTGTGTATCATGTCTCCACCACCTGCCAATGCCCACTTGCGCAAGCGGAAAAGAGACTCTGATATATCGTCTACTGAACTTGAGCCAGCAACTCCTTAAGTGACAGGCCTGGAAGCTGCACTCAAAATGCCGCCCACCGCGAACGACTGTGAGTGTGAGCCGCAGAAATTCGCGGACCTCAAGCTCGACCACAGGACGATGCAAGCCATCACTGACATGGGCTTTCGGGAGAAGACTTTGACACAGGTTGAGAGAGCTGCTATACCACCTTTGCTTGCCGGTCGTTGCGTCCTTGAGGCTGCAAAAACAGGCTCAGGGAAAACGCTAGCTTTCCTCCCCCCAGCTGTTGAACTGCTGTCTTCTCTGAATCCAAGCCGCGGAATGGTAATCTCAAAAAGCCAGCAACTCGAATCCACGATAAGCTAATCTGCCCAGGTACTGGTGTCGTTGTCAGCTCGCCTACACGTGAGCTTGCACTGCAGATCTTTGGTGTCGCTCACCAACTTCTTGCACATCATTCTCAGACTGGGGGCATCATAACGGCAGGTGCAAATAGAAAGTCGAGGCTGAGAAGCTTTCCAAGGGTATGTACGATCGTGGAAGGACACGCCTTCCTTCGGTTCGGAGTCCACCGGAAGAAACGCTGATTCTAAAGAGCATTCATAGGCATCAATCTCGTTATTGCTACGCCGGGTCGTCTCCTCGATCATTCTCTGTCCAGCCATTTGCGAGAAGTGGCTGGAAAGCCGAGGGATTTTTTGGAACATCCCTTTTTCCATGTTCCAAGATTTATTGTCTGAGGCAACTTCGAGATCATATCAATCTCCTCCGCAGTGAACATCCTATCTCTCTTGAAAATTCCCTTTTGGTGCCTCATCTTGAGAAACTTCGACTTGATCGGACAAACTGTTCGCCCCTTTGCGACAGTGGCTGCAAAATCGATGAGTCCTTTCGAATTTCTTTTTGCCATGATTTTAGAGGCAGTTGCAAGACCATTTCAATTTCATCTGCAACCCAGAATGTTCCATCTCGTATTGCCCCGGCTACCCCTTTCTTGCGTCTCACGATCCCCGGGTTTGCCCTGATTCCTTCCAGTGTTCGACCCTCTGCGAGAAGCGGTTGTAAGATTGGGGATTTCATGTTATATTTCTTACTCCACTTTTCGGGCAACAAAGAGAGTTTGTGGAGCTCTTCGAAACACCATTTGAGCCCGGGGCTTTCTCTGCAATATGTACGAGACCTCTTGATCATGGTCTTGAGCGTTTCCTTGCGAGACGTCTTGCCTGCTGCCATAGACGCTGGACACATAGCGTCCGTGCCTCGGAGTTCGACGACGTGGGTACTGTGGTTCTTGTCGAGACTAGGCCTCTCCAGAGATATTCTTTCGAGACTTGTGTCGATGCCTACCATCGACGCCGAAAACAGAGTTTGCATGGCTGGGGATCGAAGGACGCTAAAGCTATGAGTACTGTCGGGCCCATGCGTCTCCAGCGGGAGTGCGAGAGTCTCCCAAATACCTTTTTTGTAGGAGAGTCGTCCTTCCTCTGTTGAAGATTCTGGACATTTAACGAGGTGAGTAAACATCGACCAGGGGTACAGGATTGATGGCATCGTCAATTTGCTTGCACACTATGTCATAGATAGATGGCCAAACGTATAAATGTCATTTGCCATTGAGCAACTGCAGCTTATAACAACCATTCTCATCGAGGTCCCCAGTCACAACCTTCCTAGCTGTTTAAAAGGAACAAATAAATTAAGTAGTCTGACAATATTAGAGACATTTCTTAATTACCTGTGATCTGCTCCCACTTGTCTTCTCCGAGTAGGAGAACTTTGTTCGATTGCCACCAAAAGCGACACCTCTGTGGTTCAAACGCGTTTGAAACACAATTTGGGCTGATAATGGCCGCACGTGCTCGCATTTTTGCCCGATCAATGTTACATTGTCAGGGTAATGATACAAGCCGTTCTCTGGGCCTGTCATGAACTCATTCTCCATCAGCGAATAAGATTCGTTCGTAGCAGTCGAGCTCTACAAAGATGCTTGCACTGCGGCGGCATTGATGCAAGAAGTGCCTCTAGGATGTGGTAAAGACCTTCGCACTCTTCAAGCGACCAGGCCTTCTTGAGCATGAATTGCTTCAGTGGATTAGGTACGAAGTACTGCCTCGAAGCTACTAACCCAATCACCTACCTCGCGCGACAATACCTACTTTAAAGTACTCGATTTCACCTACTAGTAGATAATCTACTGGGATATGCAATGTCCGATAAGTCCGGGCCCCCCCAAATGTCTGCGTCTCACCAGAATTGTACCATAAACCGGTTATTAGACAACTTTATCAATACGACACATGTTTCACATGTTTCAAAGTTCTGTTGATTTGAGAATCGCATTCTACGCTCCATAATTCGTTTTTTCAATGTCTTCATCAAAAGGTTGTGGAACGAAAGATTGCATATCCCAGTAGGGTGGACACTAGATACAAGTAAGGCGGCGGTTCGGCGCTCACCCGACGCCCAATCGAGGGTGAGACCGGCGCGAAACCTCGCCTTGAATCAGATTCCAAAATTTCTATTTTGTAATCCCACCTCACAAAAATGACGGTAGAACCAGCTGTGAAGCGGAGGAAACTGTCTCCTCCGGAATCTTCAGACCCAGAATCATCGACCTCTACGTTGGTCGGTCAGTCTACTACGCAGGACGATTTCTTCAATAGGGCAGCAGGATGGAACTTAGAGCAGGATTATGAGCAGAGACCTCGAAAGCAAAAGAAGAAGGAGAAAGAGAACACGAGGCTCCCGATCAAGACCGTGGAGGGAAGAGTTGAACAATTGCAAATTCCAGAGGTCACACAAGAGGATGATGATAGCTGGCTCGCCTCTGAAGAGGAGAGCATGGAAGATTCAGGGCCTATCCAAGAGGACATCAAAATCCCTGTCCGCCAACAGATACTAGAGGCAAAAGAAGAGCTAGCCCGGTTGGCTGGCCTCGTTAATGAGGACCCCGAGGAGCATGCTGGCGCATTTCGCGCATTGGGTCAAATCGCAACTTCCTCAAACCCTACAATCAAGAAGCTAGGCTTAGCTACACAACTAGCTACCTATAAAGATGTCATCCCAGGATACCGAATACGCCCCATCGCTGAAATGGACCAGACGGAGAAGGTCTCCAAGGATGTCAGGCGTCTTCGAGCATTCGAGCAATCGCTTGTCAGCTCCTACCAAGCATACATCAAGGACCTGGCAACCTGTGCAAAGGCTCGACAAGGGGGAGTATCCGAAGCAACGTCGAGCGTGAAACAGGTCGCGATAGCTTGTGCTTGTGCTCTGCTCATTGCTGTACCCCATTTCAATTTTCGAGGGGAGCTCCTGAAGATTCTGGTTGGCAAATTGAGCACTAACAGGATCGATGCGGACTTTATCAGATGTCGTGGAACACTAGAAACCTTATTCCGCAAGGACGAAGATGGCACATCATCTCTAGATGCTGTTGGGCTGATCACAAGGATGATGAAAGCGCGAAATTATCAAATTGATGAAATTGTTCTGAATACTTTTCTTCATCTTCGGCTTCTAAGCGAATTCTCGTCGAAGGCCTCGCAGAACCGAGTCGATAAAGCATCTACAGACAATGATGACGGGGCCAAGAAGCCCAAATTCAAGAAAGAGTTCCGCACCAAAAAGCAACGCAAGATTATGAAAGAGAGAAAGGTAGTCGAAAAGGAGTTTAAAGAGGCAGATGCTACCGTCAGCCATGAGCAGAGAGATCGTATGCAAGCCGAGACGCTCAAACTCGTCTTTGTAACATATCTCCGAATTTTGAAGGCCAGAGTTCCTCATTTGATGGGTGCCGTACTCGAAGGTCTTGCCAAGTACGCCCACATCATCAACCAGGACTTTTTCGGAGATCTCCTCGAAATTCTTAAAGATCTCACAAATTCTAAAGCTCTGCTAGAAGCTGATGAAGAGGAGCAAGAGGAAGAGGACGAGTCATCCAAGAGCATTCGAGACTCTCTAAGAGAATCCCTCCTCTACATTACCACCGCCTTCGTTCTTCTAGAGGGCCAAGATGTTGCACGCTCCACTCCATCGCTCAACCTCGATCTCACAGATTTTACAGCCCATCTTTACAAATCCTTACATTCTTTCTGCCTAAACCCAGATCTCGAGCTCTCCCACAAGTCACTGCGTCTCCCAGATCCACATGCTTCGTCATCGGCTTCGCCTACAACTACCGCACCAAGAGTGAATCTGCAAACCACGACGGTGCTCATGTTACGTGCGCTGACCTCGATCCTGACCCCTCGCTCTGTTCCTCCAGTCCGTCTGGGTGCTTTTACGAAACAGCTCTTCACTTCTACCCTGCAGCTCCCTGAAAAATCTACCTTGGCAATGGTCAGTCTATTAAACAACCTGACGAAGATCCATGGACGTAAGATTGCAGCGCTGTGGAATACAGAGGAGAGAAAAGGAGACGGTGTTTTTGATGCCATGAGAGTAGATCTGGAGGGCAGCAATCCATTTGCCAGCACGATCTGGGATGGCGAGCTGCTGAAGTTGCATTATGCGCCTGCGGTTCGGGAAGGGATACAGGGTATTGAAAGGATCATTGGGGATGTAAAGTGAGGTTGCTGGCCTCACATAATGAATAGCATGAAGTCCTCGAGATTTTCAACTGCTAGCCCCTGTCATTCGACCTTTTTTGCTACGCGCATCCCACCCAGCCCGTCGCTTCTGCACAATGTTCGTCAAGCGCTTTCCTGCAATTCTCCTATATGAATTCTCCAGTGTTTCGCGGCTACGCGAGCCATTCCTCTTTCCGAGAATATCGCCTCTTTTCCAGTTCAAAGAGCGAATAGCACTAAGCGCACAGATCAAGCTTTTCCCCCTGTTTTCTGGCGATGGTTCCGCGGTGTCGTTCATTCTATGGCTCGATGCATCTTCTCGACTTCTTATGTTCAAGGTTTACTCGTCGATGCTCACTCTAGTTTTGCATCTCATCTGTTCTAATTAACTTAAATCTCAGTGTTGTGACAAGACCTTGGCCCATCTTTTCGACTATTCTGAAAGTGAAATGCAAGTCTCCGCTCCCTTCTTCCTTACCCTCTTCTTCCACCTCATCCACGGTCAATCCACTTTATCAGCAACGGCCTACGTCGGCCTCGTCCCTGACTACCCCAACTACGATGCCGGTCCCTCTGACGTCTACACTGCAATCGACAACGCGACGGCCACCGCTGCCGTAAGTGACCCTTGCGGGCCCCTCACTCAACCGTCACCCAATCCGGCCGGCAATACCTGCAACGTCTCTATCATAGAGTCGGACGGGCCCGCCCCTTATGGTGTTCAATGCCTCACCGACTACACCGATACCCATCTCACTTTCGACGCCTGCTCCAACGAAACCATACCCGCCATCTGTGACAAGCTCGCCGACCCAGATGTGCAGAACGGCACGTGGATCTGGGCGTCCGCTGCTGCGCCCAACACGTGCCACATGGGCTTCTACCTGCCGGCCTACGACGGCAGCGCGCAGAAGCCGGATAGGAACAAGTGCGTGCAGGAAATCTTCAGGCCAATGCTAGGCTATTGCAATCCGGCCACGGGCTATGAGGTGTCCGAGGGCATGTACAACTTAGGGATGGTGAACGTGAAGACTACGCCAGATGAGACTCAGGATGGACAGGCGGTGGATGTTGGATATCCGAGTTATATCATGGCTACGAGCCAATTGACGGCCAAGGCAGGGTGATCGAGGAATCGATGTGAAGAAGAATCAGACAAAGAACAAGGCTATCTCACATTACTGGGTGGAGTCGAGCGGCGGTGCCTGTTTCATCGGATCCAGCAAGGTATGTGTGTAGCAGGTCTCGACGTTGATAGCCAGCACTTCCATATGATATGTCTCTACCTCTACTCTCTCAGTCTCAGTCTGCAGGGCGCTTAGAATAGTCCTTCTCAAACGCGCTTTCCGCCGTATACGGAACAATTTCACAGGGGAACCAGTCCGTCGGTTTCGCAGTTCTGTTCAAACCCAATCCAGGTCCACGGAAATCCCTTCAATCCTATAGCGACATGCGAAACCTAGATGCGCCCCCATTTTCCATCAAGACTCTCATGCCTGCAGAGATGTCAGCGAACTGATGCAGTATTCACCTGTGTCATGCACGTTCCCTTCCTTGGCCGTTGCCTATGGCAGGCCCTATCGATCTCGTATCTCCTCACAACGTACGCCCGAGGAGTCCACGCATATCCCCAGACCAACCTCACGAGCCCCAACAGTAACACCTCCCTCGCCCTCTCCTCCCCCATCCTCCTTCCCTCCCGCTTCTCCTCCCTCACACTAACCTACGGCGAGCTTTCCCCCGACCGTACGTATACTCCCGAGCCAACGTTCACAATCCGTCCCAAAACCCGAGTCGCAAGATATGATCCGGGAGCGAAATGCCCCCCTGCACTCCTGCACCTGTGTCTCCCGACTCTGGCTTCTTGCCTCGGAGAAAAAGCGCTGACCCCGGAGTTCCGCGTAGGCTTCACCCCCGCGGACATCGCCCTCGCCTTCGTGGCCGCCCTGGCCCAACAAGCCGTCGAACCCTTCGACGCCCGCCTTTCCTACTTCGAATACGCCGACGCCGAAACCCCGGTCCGGATCGTTCTGCGATCGGCCCCGCATGCGCCGACCACGTTGACGGTGAGGAGCAATGTCATGTGGGCGCTGAAACAGCTACCGATCAACCTCTTCCATGATCCCAGTATATGGGGACTGGACTTCAAAGTGCGGTTGCGGGGGGAGGATTTGTATCTGGGGAGCCTGAGTAATAGTAACAGACCTGGCGGCGTGCTGGGGGCTGGGGGTGAGCAGGGGGGTGGGAACGGCAGCTCGGACGGCTCGGAAGAGAAGCAGAAACGTGCGCTGTTGATCACTCAACCGTCAAACACCACAGCCCAGAATCTTAAAAACCCCGGCTCAAGCCCAACCGACATCCAATACGACCTCCGCTTCCAGCTCACCGGCCTCCCGCTCCCCGACATCGGCATCTTTTCCGCAATCCTGGAGTTCCTCCTCGGTCTCGGCGCCGGAGACCCATACCAGGCAGTCGAATCCGCCAAGTTGGCCCTCGATACTTTACCCGTATGGATATATATCAGTTACAATGCCCAGCCGAGCTCCACGCAAAGACTGCAGGTGTATCGGGTGGTCGCGATTCTGCAGGCCATTGCGAGATATTGTGTAGGGCAGAGGATTTACCAGGAGTTGATTTTCAATCTGCTGGTTGATGATCTGTTGCTTGCTAGTGGGTGTGTAGTTAGGGGGGTGGGGGAGAGGGAGTGGTGTAGAGGGTTAGAAGGGTAGGGAGATGGGGGTTGGTTGGGGGTGGTGGGACTTGATCTTAGCCAGAAAATTTCGGTGACAGCGTAGATTGAGAAATGAGATATGCCGAACAATACATCTAGGTGTCTTCACAAAGAGGGTAATTGTTCGCTCTAGCTGTTGATGATCTTCTTCATCTCGTCAATGTCTTTCGGTGCTGTCGTTAGATTTTCGTAACCATCCTTCGTTATCAATATGTCATCTGCACAAAAAGCAATCAGCAAATGGACGTCCAAATATTTGAGCAAGACTTGCCTTCGATTCTTACACCCCCTACATTCCAGTACCTTTCCAGCACCTTCTCATCAATGAATTCTTTGTGCTTCTCGTCTTTAAGATATGGCTCGATGATGAAGCGACAGAAGTACACTCCTGGCTCCACCGTAATGACGCTTCCCTCGGGCAACGTCCCCCTCACCCTCAAGTACTGGAACATCTTGTCTTTGTCCTCGTAGTCTGGATGACCTCCCGTATCGTGGGTATCCATACCCAAATAATGACCCAGTCCGTGCGGGAAGAAAGCGACGCTTGTCCTGGAGTCAAAGATATCTTTCTTGTCCCCCTTCAAAAGCCCCAGATCCAACAGTCCCTCGATCGCCACCTCATGCGCCTTGACATGCACATCCTCCCACGTCACCGCTGCCTTCAACATTCCCAAACACTCCTCCTGCATCTTTTGCACGATTCGATAAATTCCCTCACTCTCTTCATTAAACGTCCCGTTCAACGGCATCGTCCTCGTGACATCGGCACAATAGCAATCATACTCCGCAGCTGCATCAACCAACAGATTCCACCTTCCCTGTAAATGCTGATCGTTGGCGACGTAATGCAATGTAGCGGCGTTATGTCCTGACCCGAATATGCCGTGGTAAGCTTGTTCTGTGCATCCAAGCGCTATCCGTCGCTCTGTGAAGACGGCTTCCAGCTCTTGTTCGTTACGTTTATGTTTCAGGTTCTTGAGCACGGCGATGTGAGCCGCGGTGGTGACCTCGTTGGCTTTCTGTAACATTGCAACTTCATACACATCTTTCGTAACTCGGCACTCGTCAACGGCAGTGTGTAAGGCGTCAAGGTTGTAGGGCACGAAATATGACTGCTCGTATTGGTCACATGGGAGGTGAGATTTGGTCGCGAATGTTAGGGGTGCGGATGATCCGGGTCTTCGAGTGGGTGCGAGGTGGTCGTAGAGTTCGGATGAAGGGCGAACTTGATCGACGTCATATTTGTGTAGAGCTTGGTCTGGGGACAAGGGTAAGCCAGACCAAATGACGGAGGAGGGATCAAGTGGGGGGATGAAGAGGGTGAGAGTGGAGGTGGGGATGTCGTAGACGAGATGGCAGTCAGGCAGATTGCAGCCAGAGAGATAGAAGAAATGACGACGCTGTCTGAGTTGTGTAAGTCAGCCAGTACTTGAGCTCTTGCCATGAGATAATCAGACCTGAAAGGTTGGGGCTCGTCGTTGTCTTCTATCATGCGAGTCTTTTGCCCCTGAATATATATCCTCGCTGGGCTGTCATCTTTGACCGTCTCTTTGAGGTGTGCCGCAACTTTTGCGCAGTGGGCTTTGGCAGGGTATTTGCCCTTTAAGATTGAAGTGTGGTGTTTCATGGTAGTAGTGGAGTGAAATGAAGAAAGTTTGAGCAGACTGTGGGGTGTAGATCTCTTTGGCGGTGGCCAATGAGATGTCCAAATGTTGATGAGGTGGTGGTGTCGTCTGCTGTAATGGGGTATGACTTTGGTCACGAAGGAATTCATTCTTTAAAAGCAAAATCGTAAATTAGATATTTATTGTATGTCCATAGACGAGGTCCAGAAGAGGTCTAATAGCGCCTGGAAATGCCCACATCAACGCCAGATCATGCAATAATCACAAAGTCCCGTATAATATACGTCTATAAACATGCATCGTACGCTGGCTAAAACGCAGCACATAAATCAGCCGACAGCGAAAACTATCTCTCTCAATCCCTCCAACGAGCCAAATATTTCTGCATATCATCCATCGGTCCAGGTGCCGCAGCAGCCTAAGTAGTTCGTTAGCAGGATACCTTTGCAGAACCAGGCCCATATCGGAGCAGTTGCTTACCGTGTTCGCGTGGCTTGAAGTGCTATATGTTGCACTGACGGTCTGGGTAGTAATCGCCTTTGGCGTCGGTAGCCAGGTCTTGGCGATACTCACAGAACTCGTTGGGTACTGGGGACTAGCATTCTTCGCGGTGATCTTCGTGCCAGGCTTGCCTTGCATAGGGGCGTATCGGATGGGTCCACTTTGTAGAGTATATGGTACGGTAGCGCCAGCAGCTACAGGGCCTCCGGCACCTGCAGCATTGGCACCCGCAGCAGCAAAGTTGTTCTCCGTTGCCGGCCCATCGGTTCCTGAAAGTCCTGAGAGACCAGTGGTGACTGTGGCAGGAAAGGTTCCGGTCATTCCACTCAAAGAAAACCGATTAGAGTAATTAGTGACCGTTCCGCCAGTGCCGGCAGAGATCATCTTCAGAAAGCTGATGGATGATATTAGCATAGCTTTTCGGCGGCAGAGATATCATCTTACTATGCGTTTTTTACACTTGCTCCGATGCTGGCGGGCACTGTTCCTGACGATGCACTTCCAGAACTGAATACTCCATTGGCCACGAGTGAAGTCAACTGAATCTATTACCCCGACTCCGTATCAGCAAAAGCACTATAAGCTTATTTGTATCTTTGCTCAGGAGCATCTAATACACACAAAGCTGCCCGCGTCATTGCCTCCTGCGCAGAGGAACAATTGGAATGATTGAAGTTCGCTTATTGGCGGTGAAGTCCCGGAATCTTTCCATGCAACCTGCAGCAATTGACCTCCCACTGCTGTAGCACCTGCGGAAGGAGACGTAAATTCAACGTCGGCAAAGGCATAAGGGGCCACGGCGACTAGGAGAAGGAGGAGTCGGAAGAGCATCGTTGATGAGAGATACGGGGAAACGAGTGTGTCTCAGGCGACGGTGTACCCGAGTGTCTACTAGATTGCGAACACGAGCAGGCGTTAGGATCGTGAGGATCGCTGTGGGCGCTGATGTTGATTACATCAATTGTTTGCTTGTAGTTTTAGACCGGTGGAACCTCGAAGTCAGCCAAGATTATGGTAGCGTTTTGGGCTTAGCGGTCCCGCATTACCAATTAATCATTGCCCAGTTTGTCTTAAGCCTTCGCCACAGGTCCTGCTTTGTTTTCTACAGCAAATGGTGAACTACGAATGTCTGTACGATGGCCCGACGCTTTTGATGCTTCATACTTTTTCATAGGGACAACTAAATGAAAGCAACTCAATTTGTGACGCCCTATTAGACTCCCGTCATTATAGCTTCACTTAAAAGGCCCACTCTACATGTATCGCTGGATCCATCCTTTTGAGCCAGGCTCCCAGTACATTTGGAACTCCTGTTAGAAAATCCATTCCCCGTGGTTGTGGCCCTGGACCTGGTGATGCCGGGGATTAGAGAAGAAAAGGTGTCGAGATACTCGTATAAGAGACGAACCTGAGGCCACAACTAATGCATTTCCTATGATGATGTTCCTTGAGCGGATGCCAGGCGAGTTGTCAGATACTCTGCTGTTCTGTCCGTATCACCGCTGTGTCGCAGTGGAGCCCTCGCAGTTCCGGGTCCAGGTGGCGTGTCACATTGAGACCGATTGACCAACTGTTGATTCAGAACCTCTGAGGGCAGCTGCGGGGTCCGGATTCCTCTAAAATGGACGAGGAGATACATTGAACTTGGGTCAGACTTTCGTTATATGTCCTCGAGGTTGGAGGTTGTGGAGGGCTGTAGCTGCCATCCCACTTGAGAATTGACTCCAAAGGCGTATGACTATCGGATGTTTTGCTAGGCTAGCAATTAAACATCTTTCTCACTATGCGGCAGCAGGAGTTTCCGCCGTAACTGTCGGTGGCTTGGACTGCTCGGCGACCAAGTCACGCGTAGGCAGCTGTGGCCGAAGGTTTTCTTGCGGTCTGTACAGACTTTCCCTATGCCTGATTGATTTAGCATGTTCCAGCAAGCCTTCTCTATCGACTCTCAGCTCAAAGTTGGTAACGAAGCAGAAGCTGACTTCCAATCTTCCCAACTCTGTCTCGCCGACACCTCCAACTTTTGCAAATCGTCGATGTGGGTAGCTGAAATCTTCCAATGCTTTCATTGCCACTCGAAGGCCGGCTAACACCAGGCGATGAACATTACGAGAAGTTACAGGAATGATTCTCTCCACCACTGCTAGTTTGAAGATGTAGAGACTTGTAGCAAGATAGACGGCTGTTGACATTGGACAATAGCGATGCAATCGCAAGAGGTATTCTTCTAGACTGATCGGGGGTGGTTTCTTCGAATAGAACTTTCTTATGATAGCGCCATGCCTTGATGATTTCGGAGTCAGCATCACTCTTTTGGGAGGCTTCCTGAGTCTCGAGATATGTCTTAGGAGCAGAGAACTCTTTAGACAAGTCGGACGACTCATAAGCCAGCATGAATGGGGAAGCACTGCCTCTGAAAGTATAACGCACTGGATATTTAGGGGCTCCATGTTTGACCCAATGACGTGCAGAGGCTCTGAGGGGCCAGCCTCAGGGCTACCAATTGGAGTTTTGGCCCTTGCGGGCACGCCGTCAACGTCTCCCGTATTCTCTGCGCCCCCGCTTTGTCGACGCCTGTGTTCCTTTGTATGGCGAGCAACGCTCTCTTTTTCAGCTTGTATCAACCCAAGATTTGGAGTGCTTGGCGGGCTGATTGGAGGGGTTGGTGGGACGTCGCCGGTAATATGGACCAAAGTCTCGACTGTGCTACAGAGCATCCTCAAAGCTGCCACGGGACTCAAGGTGAAAAGGTCGATGTCATCCGCATTTGGCAAGGTGCCTGAGTCCGTGAGGGATGATTCGGTGCCAGGAACAATGCCTCGATCTGCAGAGGGACTCGGCGGTCGTGGAAGCTGAGGAAGGGAGGTTGCTAGGT